CCATTTTTTCTGTAATATAAAATGATAAATTATTCTTGATGCACCAAGCTTTTCTTGACTTTTCTGATCATAGAAGCACACCACTGTCCTTAGCGTAATCTCTTTTTGCCCATGGGACAATTCAGCAGATTCAGTCATTGATGTTCTACCTCAAGAAGGGGTCACGCAGTTTCTGAATTACCTTGACATTCATAAAAGAAAGAGCAGATTTTTAAAAAAAGATACAGTTTTTTTTTTCTTTTGCCATATGTAAGTGTTCTTTTTGATTGCTAAATGGTTGCATTCTGTCATTAACCTCTTCTGGTGCTGAGTGAATCTTTTTCCAGACTCTCTTTATAGGATCATATATGGGTCCCTTTAAACTTGGACTGTTCTTAAACTTTTTAGTGACATGTTGACAGACAGCTTCTTAACTATTTTCACTGTCGGTTAATTACATTCCTTTGGTTTAACTCTTATGTTGGTGAACTTTGCTTCTCTGATGTCCGAATTCAGTCTCTGGTCTCTTGTCTCATGGGAGGTCTTCTCCCTGTCACTCCATGTGCAGAAGACCAGGTGATTTTGAGGCTTCTTCAGTAGCTCTCACTGCAGTGTTTTGCAGAGTGTGCTTCAAGGATGACCAGCCCGAGAACCTGGTGCTAGTCGGGGCAGCCATGGTAGCTGCTAGGTGATCACCAGGTACCCACAGGTACCTGTCCTGTACTTAGCACAGGCTTGGCAAATATTTGCTGACCCAATAAATGTCATTACTTTTTTTCTTCTTCAAATTCTTTAAAAATATAAAGCATGTATTGGAAAGTCTATGTTTGTCTTCACCTAGAGCTAGTGCCTTCTCTCCTGAGGGATTTCTCTCTACTCCGTTCTGCTAATTTCCTCTTGCCTTCTGGTGGTGCTGCTTATTTATTAGAACTGTGGGGTTTTTTGTGTACTTGTTTGTATGAAACGCATTTTGAATGTTTTTGTTGGTGGTGGTGGGGTTTTCTTTGATTCAGATTTTTACATTGTTGCTCTTTTGTGGATCCTACTATCTGGAAGTTTCCTGTGTTGTATCTCACTTTGCTCTCTTCCCAGAATTTGACAAAATGGTTATTCTAAGTATCATGAGAAAATACAGTGAATTAATTGCATTGCATTTAGTTATACATGGATCTTTAGACTTTAAGCACAGTTAATTTCAGACACTCATAGGCAGAGATAAATTCAGTAGATTCTCTCTAAGAAATGTCTTCACTGTATATTTTGTATAAGAAGCATTTAATCCTGTTTTCCTTCCCTCTAAGTGAATTTCGGTTGCAATTTAAATAAAATAATAAATGTTGTAAGTGTCCATCCTCACAGATTTTTACGTGCTAGTAATAAAAATGACATGGTACAATGTCCCAAACACAATAAACAGGAGTTAGCAGGAAATACAGAAGGACTAGGGAAATTATAGCCTTGAGGTCAAATGCAGCCTGGCTTTGTATGGCCCTTGGGATAAGAACAGCTTTTACATTTTTAAATGATTAACCTAAAGAAAGAAGAATGTTTTGCAACCTATACAACTGTATGAAATTCTAGTTTCGATGTCCATGAATAAAGTTTCATTGGAAGACGGCCAGGCCTACTCGTTTTGGTATTAACTCTGGCTGCTTATGCATGGCTACAGCCGAGTAAATCATGGACTACCAGTTTAAAATATTATGATCTGACCCTTTACAGAAAACAATCGGCCAACTTCTGGACTACACAACACGTTGTACCTGCAGTAGCTCATGTTCAAACTTGTAAAACTCACAAAAAGTTTATTTGATCTTTTCCCCCAGTAACTGATACATTTGTCCATGATTGATACTTTTTTCCCCTGATAACAGATACATTTCTTGATACTATTAGGCGGAATGACGAATCCAACATTTTCTATTCAAATTCATGTCCCCTCCAACAAATATCTGGGGTCAAAAGAGCCATACGTGCAAGCACACTTGTAATTTTTGATGTATTTGCTTTATCCTGTGAACAATGAGATGCAAGAGGCCTTTTTTTGTTTGTAGTCACTAATGACTTTGCTGATGAGTTTTACTCTGGCAGTTCATAAAAGCAGACACCTGCACACAAGTCTTTTATGCCTGCAGAGAGCATGTTATACAATACAGTGCTCTGCTTCTGTTCAGTTCACCCAAAAGCACTGAACTAAGATCTCGCATGACCGTCCTTCACGTAATCTCTTTTTGCCCACGGGACAATTCAGCAGATTCAGTCATTGATGCTCTACCTCAAGAAGGGGTCATCAGTTTCTGAATTACCTTGACATTCATAAAAGAAAGAGCAGATTTTTAAAAATATATAGGTATTTCTTCCTGAGTTTGCTGCTATTCTTTCCTGGTTTTGCTACTATTAGATTTTTCCTCTTCTTCCCTACCTCCATGCCCGCTTTGGCTTCCTGTCCTGGTGGCCCTTCATGCTAATGGCATACTGTATTTCTTTTGCTACGTTTTACTTGCAGCTCCCTGGTCATTTTCACTTGCCTGGGTCAAGATCTGTCAAGTTGCATGAGCAGCCCCTGTTTCTTCCTGTCTCCCATCTACCTAGTTTCCCATCCTGCACTCTTAGAAGTAAGAATATCCTTTCAATTCAGCGAGAGGAGTGGCACCCCACACGAGAGCACTGGTCCCTGAAGCTGTGCCAGTGAAAGAAAAGAAAAAAGGCAAAACAAGGACGTGCAAGTGGGAGCCTCCAAATCCAGGCCTCACCCATTTTCTGGTTTGTCTCCAGGAGATTCTGTTCTGCCCGTGCATTTCTTGAAAACTGTTTTCTCTTGCTTTTCCATGTAGAAGAGGCAGAGGCAGCCAAAATTTGGGGGCATTTGTGACATTGCAGGCACAGTGATAAGTACTGTGGTCATCCTCACAGTTCTTTACGGGTAGGTGCGTTCCTCCCTATTTTACAGATAAGTAGGTGGGGCCTGGGGTGTGTTAATCACCTATCCACAGTCACAGGCCAAGCGTGGGTAGGCTGAGTCCCAAGTCAGGAGGCAGTCCTCTGATGGCCTCAGCCCTGAAGGCCCATGGCAAGAAACCACCAGGTTGGGGCTGCATTATAGAAAGGAGGTGGTAGCACTTGGCTCTGGGGGGACAAGGGAGGCTTCTGTTGGCACACCCTTACCATACAGAATAAGTTGCATGTAGAACCAGGAGTAGGCATGAGGGGATGGTTATGTGGTTTTCAGGAGAATTTTCTACTTCTCTTGTTTACTAGTGAGGTTAGCAAGCCGACCAGAGGTCATGGATAAAGAGCAGCTGCACCAGTTAAATACATTTATCCCCCATCAATTACTGCAACCTGCTGTATAGTATGAATATTAAAACAATCAAAGCTGAGTTTGAACACCCAGCCTAAGATTTTCGCTTTATTATTTAGAAATTTGTTTTTTAAACTTCTCCAAATTGCTATGATTTTATTGCTTTGGCTCTCAAAATGTTTGATGCTATAGTTTTAGTCCTGTTTGTAAGCTCTTAAGTAATTACTTATGAAAACTTGTGTGGTTGTAAGTTTCTAAGAACGTATTCTATTGTTTCAATAGTTATACATTGCTTAGGATGGGATGCATTCTGAGGAAGGTATCTAGGCAAATTTGTCTTATACACACATTATAGAGTGTAGTTACACAAACCGAGATGGTACAGGCTACTTCACACCTAGACCACAAGCCACAGCCTGTTGCTTCTAGGCTACACACCTAGACGGCATGTTATTGTCCTGAATACTGTAGGCTGCTGTGACACAATGGTATTTGTGTATCTAAACATAGGAGAGGGATAGTAAAAACATGGTATAAAAGATAAAAACGGTACACCCTGATAGGGTACTTTACCATGAACAGAGCTTGCAGCACTGGAATTTGCTCTGAGTCAATGAGGTATGGCCATGGAGACCTGGCACTGCTCATTATTGTACACTTTAAACACACTGGGTGCTTAGGCAACATTGCATTTATTTTAAAAAATGATTTCTTCAATAATAAATTAACCTATTCTTACTGTAACTTTCTTACTTTATAAACTTTTTCATTTTTTTAACCTTTTAGACTCTTTTGTAATAGCCCTCAGCTGAAAACACAAACACATTGTACAGCTTCGCAAACTGCCTTTTTCCTTTGCATCCTTATTCTCTAAGCTTTTCTCTGTTAATTTTTTTTTCTTTTTTCTTTCTAAAAATTGTGTTAAAGACTAAAACATAAACAGACACATTAGTTTAGGCCTACACGGGATCAGGATCATCAAGAGGTCACTAGACTATTGGAACTTTTTAGCTTCATTATAACTTTATGGAACCTCAGTCATAGGCACGACCCATTGTGGACTAAAACATCAAATGTGGCATGTTACTGCATTTATTGTTGTATACTTAAGGTAAAACTGTTTTAGTCTGTTCCTGATGCTGTCATAGAACTAATGGGTAATTTATAAAGAACAGACATTTATTTTACCATCGTTCTAGGGGTTGGGAAGTCCAAGATCAAGGTGTTCGCATCTGGTGTCTGATGAGGGCCTTCTTCCTGAATCCTCATATGGCAGAAGGAGGACAGGCAAGTTTGCACAGTAGGGCAAGATACTGACAGATACAGCAAGAAGCCTCTTTTGTAAAGGACTTAATCCCATTAATGAGGAAGGAGCCCTCATGATCGAATCACCTCTACAAGGCCCTCATAGCACTGTCCCATCTGCAACTCCTGAATTTTAGAGGGGACATAGACCATAGCATTCTCATATGCTACTTTAATTCTAAAATGTACTGAATGCCTTCAGGATGACCGTTGTTGATCTGTCCAGGGACCTTCTGGAAGGTCAGTCTACAGCCACTTATACTGACCTTAGAGATGGTGAAGTAGGACTTATTGGTCTGTCAGAGGGAACCAATTTCCCTTTTAGAAGATTCCTGTGTAACCCACATTTTGTGTCTTTATTTTTTCCTCATCAGGCTTCCATCTCTATCACAAGCTACCCACGATAGTGCCTGAGAGCTGCCTCCTTATCATGGTTGGACTTCTACTAGGTGGAATTATTTTTGGTGTCGATGAGAAGTCTCCCCCTGCGATGAAGACTGATGTGTTTTTCCTGTATCTCCTCCCACCCATTGTGTTGGATGCCGGCTATTTCATGCCCACGCGCCCGTTTTTTGAGAACATTGGCACCATTTTCTGGTATGCGGTGGTAGGGACACTTTGGAATTCCATTGGCATCGGGGTGTCTTTGTTTGGCATCTGCCAGATCGAAGCGTTCGGCCTCAGTGACATCACTTTGCTCCAGAACCTGCTCTTCGGCAGCTTAATCTCAGCCGTGGACCCAGTGGCTGTGCTGGCTGTCTTCGAGAACATTCACGTCAATGAACAGCTCTACATCCTGGTCTTCGGAGAGTCCCTGCTGAATGATGCAGTCACAGTGGTGAGTAACACATTCGTGCTGTGTCATCCCCACATGGGGGTGAGGGAGGGGGAGGAGCCTGGGGACCTGCAGTGGCTCTCTGACCCTGACAGCAGAGGTGGGACCCTGCATACAGGGCAGCTTCATGAGCTGTCGCCCAAGGCCCGTCCCTTGGGCTAATGCTCTGATGGTGCTGTCTTGAAATTCTTAATGCATTTTTATTCTTTGTTTATATTTTATTTATTATTATGCATCTGGCCCCTCATTTTCATTTTGCAGTAGGCCTCACAAAGTTCGTAGCTGGTCTCTGCTTACAAGACCTTGTTCATACCAGAAGAGCATAGATGTGATTATAGCCTCTGTACGTCTGATAATTTATCACCTTGGCATTTTCAGAAGTGATGGTGCTTGATCATAACTTAAAAGATTCCAGATCCCAGAATTCTTTGTGAGAAATCATGCTGCCAGTCAATAAATGATATGTAGAATGCAGGTGAAATGATAGTACCTACTAAGAGCCATTCTCTATCAGGGAATTTTTATTTATGATGTTCATGATTTCAGGGAAAGTGTTTTTCATCACAGGCTCCCTTCTCACATTCTGTTACTACACCAGCACATTTCTGGTCCTCATCATTTTCTGATAAATAAGTGTTTATTCAGAAGATGCAAATTATTTTAAATATTCTCTTAATTGACATGTAATTCGAGTCAGGGGCTGTTGTGATCTTATTGTTGGCAGAACTGACTGCCTGCCTTCTGAAGTCAGGCAAGAATGGAGAGAAAGGAAGTGAAAGCCTCTCCCCCTCTCCCTCAGCCATAGACCTACAAAGAGCTGTACTTCCACCAGCTACAGACACTCAAGTGATCATGGATTGATGACCAATCACCATCACTGATGCTGTTTTATTTTAGTCATGGTTCTGTAGTAGTAAAGTTGAGAGTAATGATAGCTACTAACCTTTTGTGAATGCTCCCCTTGTGCTCAGGTATATATGCAGAACTATGAAATAGGTATTCTTCCCATTTTGAAGATAAGAAAATTGAGGGCCAATCTTGGTGGCTCAGCCTATACTTTGGGAGACCGAGGCGAGTGGATGGCTTGAGCCTGCGGGTTCAAGACCAGCCCGGGCAACTTGGCAAGACCTCGTCTCTACAATAAATAAAAAATTAGCCTGGCATGGTAGCCTGCACCTATAGTTCTGGCTACTTGGAAGGCTGAGGCGGAAGGATTGCCAGAGCCCAGCAGGTCAATGCTGGGGTGGCCGTGAGTGTGCCACTGCACTCCAGAGTCTGGGTGACAGAGTGAGATTCCAACTCAAAAAAAGAAAAAAAGAAAAGAAAATTGAGGAAGAGAAGGATTAAGTAAAGTGTGCTTAAGTAACTTAATTTTTAATACTTTTTCCATTGCTCCCATCACTAAAAGGTTATTCCTGACTCATAAAAATCTACATAGACCAACAATATTCTCTCCTAGTCCATATTCTACTGTAATAACAAATCCCTAAACTGAATAAAAATCACTAAGGTTGTACATTAACTTCATGTGAATATTATTATGTAAAAACGAATGCATTGGTAATTTAACTGATAACAGTTTGTAGAATAGCTGCTAAGACAACTATTTTAAGACAGCTAAGTTACCTCTCTCAGGTAACAAAATCCACTTCATATATTTCATTATTCATTAACTGGTTAGTCATTAACCTACCAATATTAAATTTTAACTGGGAAACTGCCATCATAGTAAAGACATTATATAACTCATTCTAATTTCCAGAGGCATCAAGTTTATCAAGTTTTCCATTGTGGTTTATGTTTGTTATGTGAATTTTGCCCTTGTTGAGGGAGACTGAACATTTGAATGTGGACCTCTTGGAGTGAATCTATTTAGTGTCAAGGGACCTTTACAAAGGAGTAAGAACACCTTGCAGCAGTCCTTCTAGGGCAGCTCAGCAGATTCAGGTTGGTTTCAGAATGACACACCATGCGTTATAATAGGCTTTCCTGCCTATTATAGCATTTTTATTCCGACATTGCATGGTCCATTCTTTGAGTCTGTCCATAACCATCTATCAGGCTAAATCACTGCTTAGAGTATGTGCAAAGGCAGTGGGTGATCCAGAGTCATATCTTGTGCTTCCTCTTAAGGGGCCCAAAGTCATTGCTGTGGTTTTATGGACGGAGAGGAAGGGCTGACTCAGGGAGGATCAAGGGCCAAAGGGAGAGCCCACCACGCCAACAGGGAACGAGGGCACAGACAAGAAAGACCATGGCTGGTGTTTAGAGGTGGTAACCCTTGCCCGGAACCAGAGCCAGAGCCTGTAAATCAGAAGAACTGCAGTAGTCTCATATATAGAAGCCTGCCTTGGAAAGTTACATACCCTGGGTTGAAAGTTCATGGCTTCTTAAGACCAGACCCACAGGATTTGGGGGCATATCCAGGGGCTTGCCTCCTTAAAGCCTAATAATAAACGACTGGATGTTTGTCTCATTGAATTGGCTGAATACTGTACTGAATTGAGTACATATTAGGAATAATTGAACAACAGTATAAAAAAATTACAACTTTGCATCCTATTCAAGTGCCCTCAAAGAATATAGGTGGAGGTATTTTATGGAAAATTATTTGGTTCATTCATTTGGTTTTATACCCAGGAGAGGTTTAAGGAACTCATAGATGAGGGAAAGGTATTAAAAACACGGACCGTGATGCATACAGCAAAAATGAGGAGTCACTAAAAGTTGCAGGTAGAAGGAGAGATTAATCAGACAGAATTCATGTTGCAAGTGTAGTGTAGAGAATGGGTGAACTTGCAGGTCAGTGCAATTAACTACTGTTTTCAAAGGATGATGAATTCAATATTGAGATAGAAAAGCTGAAGGGAAAAAGTATTAAAATGTCTCAAAGCAAAATAAATTGATTACATCTCTTTATACATATACATATATATATCAGATCAAACTCTTCATGCTATTGTCCTGGGCTATGGTAGAGGAGAATTAACTGGAGAAATAGCAAACAACTGAAAAAAAATTAAAGGTATGATTTTTGAATAGGATTTTTGTGTTTTTTCCCTTATAATAAATGTTTTGTGAAAACTTTTCAAAATTTCTCCAATTAGGCAAAGATTGTTCAGGTTCTGTGTATCTGAGCATCCCTGCTGTTTTCACATAGTCTATCAAGAAATGATTTACGGTAATTTCCAATGTTATTTCTAGAACATGTAAATAAAACTGTTGAGTATTCTAAGACATCTTCCACAGAGACTTAACGTGATTCCTCAATCTGCCGGTAACTAGGCTTGGTTAAGAAGAGCTGGCTTTGGAGAAAGAAATTAGAGATGTGTCACAGTGACCCAGTAATTGTGTATTGTAGAGGGGAATTTAACTTAAGGAAGATGGAGAGTAAGCAATGACCACTTGGGACTTAACTTTGATTTTGCAAATAGCAGAATAGATCTACAATTCTTAGGCAAAAATGATTATCCTTTATGTTTCATATAAGAAAAACTGACCTGAATGCTGTTTTTCTGGAACAAAGGCATTCTGATAAACAAATGAATTTGCATAGTTTGCATCCTGGCTTTACATGATTTCACAGAATTTATGTGGTAACAGAAACAAACAAACAAAATACATAATTCCTAATTTTAATATAGATACAGGGGAGCCAAAAACGTATACACATTTTAAGCACGACATTCACTCAAAAGATGACGTTAATCAAATGAATGTAGTGTCACCATGTGACAGGCAGGACAGTCAAAGAAAATGGCAGAAGCACAGTTGACCAAATGTCATACTATCCATTTTTACCATAATTTAATTCAACTTCAAAAAGTAATACTAGATAACATCTCTTAAAATGTGTATACATTTTTGGTACCCCTGTATTTATGTATTTTAAAAATTATCATAACAAGTATACTTTGGATCATTGGAAAGATTTTAAAGCTGTCAAATTAGCCCATTACAGAATTTAGTGAATAGGTTATCACTGGCATTTTAATATAAAAATACAAATGTCAAGATGAGGCCAATTTTGCACAGACTCACTAGAGACATTTATAGTTCACATACATTATATATACATAATGCATATGCATATATGAATTCAAACTCCCAAATGCTTTTCTGCATAGATTCCCTTGTGGTCAAATTAAGGGATTTGACTGGAATGAACTAAGTATGTGGTTATGGCCAGCTGTAACTAAAAGAATTTTATCTCATGCTGATCGTGAGCTATCAGGTTCAGTGTGAAACAGGTGGGGGGTTATGGAAAGCTTTCTCGTTGTCAGGGTAATGCTTCTACTTAAGATGTTTCCTCTAACCCTGCCGTGGCATCTTTGGCAGTAGAAGAATCCAAATAGACTTTCTGCCCCATGGGCTGAGAAGAAAATGCCTATGACTCAGCTTTTCTCTTTGCAGAGTCTAAAGGAATGTTTAAAGCAGGGTGTAGTGTACCTTTGATAGATTTGATGGGTTGAGTAGCCAGAAAATGGTTTTGGAAGGACTAGGAATGTATGACCTATCTGCTGATGCCAGTTAATCTATGGGAAAATACCTAGACTTCCCTATGAGGCCTCTTCAGTGGTGGTGGTGGGAGGGCAGATGGGGATGAGAGAGATGAGAAGAAAGTGACTTGGCTCTGTGTGAAGAAATTTCTAATTTTGTTGGGAACATGACACACTCGTTCAAGAGACAGCACCAACAACACAACACAGTACATAGGCTGAGAGATTGTCTGGGGTGCAGGAAGTTGGAGGAAGGGACGTCAGCTGCACCTTGGAAGAAAAAGTTTGCCCAGGCTTAGGGGCTAGGTTTCTGCGGAGAGACATTATAGGAAAGAAAACCAGGGGCAGAAATGAATACACATGGCATGTTTATGGAAACTCTGCAGACTGAAGTGTGTTGGAAAGCAGTACAAGAACATAAACAAAAACAAAAAACAAATGACAAGGTGTACCAGTGTTTTGAGACTATTAGGCCTTCCTGAAGTCATGCAAAGATGTTAACCTTGGGAGTGAAAATGGAATGGCAGCCCTTAAAAGAAGTAGTCTTGTGATGGCTGAGGTGGGATTTGAACAAGGAAGAGATGAGCCTCTCCAGTTGAGGCTGGAGGGCAGAACTTTGGTGCCCCAGTGGCTCTGCAAAGAGCTGTCCACGAAGAAATGGGAAGCTGGGTAATCTGCCTCTCTCTTCCTGGATGCTGGTGACTGTCCCCTTTGGCTTTTACTGTTTGGAGGCAAGGGCTATGTATAGCACATCCCTGATCCTCGCTCAGGAAGCAACTGGAGTAGTTGATGCTGATGAAATCTGACACCTGCAGCAAGCCGCTGGTTGAAAGGAGGAAGTGGATGCCACTTGGAGCTAGTTTCTTCTCTGTCTGGCAAATGATGTTGCCTTCAAAATATTTAAGTCCTCAGGGTAATGAATTTTTGTTCTTCTCTGAAGTCATTTCTCGGTGGTAGGATACCAAACGCTCTTGAGTGTTACACCAGCAATTAGGAGAAAGGAAAGACTCAGTGCTTTCTAAGGAATAATTCACTTTTCTAAAAACAGACATTTATATCAGCTACTGGACAACATGGAAGAGGCAAATCATAATAAGGTGTTGGTTGACCACTAGGAGCTTATAATCTGGAAGAAAGGAGAAAAAAATTATGTAAAACCTGTAACGTGGTAGGCTCTATAAGTGACCGTAAGTGAAGTGGAAAAAGCTTGGGATGGCATTTCCCAGCCACACAGCCATTAGCAGGAGGAGTATGAATCACTCCCCCGTGGTTGAACCTTGAACAATTTCACCCGAAGGTCAGGAGAACTGGATTCCAATATTGCCTCTGACATTTTGTGTTGTTTGACCTTGGACACATGGGATCGATTTTGAGTTTTTCAGATCTCAGATGAGAGAGTAGCACAAACTTCATCCCCCAGTGTCCTTGTCAGTTGGCTCTCCTGGAGATTCCAGAGGCTCCCGGGTTTGTAAATATAACAGTGAAAAGAAGGACGTCTGCTTGACTTGTATCTGACTTGCTGCTTTTGTGGAAAAAGTGGTGGGATTGAAGCCATCACTTCCCACTTCAGTTGGCTCAGCGGCTCCCAGACACTTGTGGAAAAGCATTATTGCCATAGACCTGAAGTGCTTAGCTTCCTTAGAGCGGTCATTAAACCAAGGGAAACTAGACAATAATGCAGTCTCATAAATTTAGTGGCACAAAATATTCATGAAGTTACAGTGCGCGCGTGTGCGTGCGCACACACACACACACACACACACACACACGAGTTTGCTGCTTTTTTGCTTGAGTCTCATGTTGCACCAGACATGTGGGGCGAGGACAGGGAGGGGAGGTAAGGTGTGGAGTGAGGGCCAGGCTCGGTGGCTCAGCCTGTAATCCCAGCACTTTGGGAGGCCAAGGCGAGAGGATTGCCTGAGCCTGGAGGTTTGAGACCAGCCTGGGCAACTTGGTGAGACCTTGTCTCTATAACAAATCACAAAAACTAGCCGGGAAGGGTGGCGTGCATCTGTAGTTCTGGCTACTTGGAAGTCTGAGGTGGAAGAATTGCCTAAGCCCAGCAGGTTGAGGCTGCAGTGGGCTGGGTGTGCCTGGGTCACAAGAGTGAAACCTCAACTCAAAAAAAAAAAAAAAATAAGATGTGGAGTGAGAACCCGATGACCTGGGAGGAGGCCTGCTTCTGGCTGGGTGCCTTTATTGATGGGTGGATCCCTTCCATGGTGTGACTCCACAATAGAATATTGTAAGATACATGAATTCACAGCGGCACTGACAAGGTTTTTCTGTGACATACTACTTCCCAAGCAGTGATGACATAAGCTGGGTGTGCTGGATGGCAAACAAATGTTTTAAAATAATCTTTCAGGTGATAGCTGGAATAATAATGTTTTAGGAATCAGTTACATAATAACTTTGAAATCTCCTTTCTTTTTTAGAAAGAATTTATCTGAAAACTCACTTTTATTGAAATTGTTCTTTCCTTTTTTGTTTAAAGCCACAATATTAAAATACAAGGCAAATAGATACACAGTGATTGCCACTAATCATCCAGTTAGATACCCAGAAGAAATATCCTTCTTAGAAAGCCAGGTAGATGTGTTTGTGCCCAGAATGATAGTGGGGAAATTGGGAAGGGTCTTGACATCGCTGTTTTCTTTCTCCCACAGGTCCTGTACAACTTGTTCAAGTCCTTTTGCCAGATGAAAACCATTGAGACCATTGACGTGTTTGCAGGAATTGCTAACTTCTTTGTTGTAGGAATTGGTGGGGTGTTGATTGGCATCTTCCTGGGATTTATCGCGGCATTTACTACTCGATTCACACATAATATCCGAGTGATTGAGCCACTCTTTGTTTTCCTGTACAGTTATTTGTCCTACATAACAGCCGAAATGTTTCACCTCTCAGGCATCATGGCGTAAGTATTTTGTTGTTAAAAGCACTTGATGATGACATTTCATTGAATTCATGTATTCTCAACTAACATATTAAACTTGAATAAGTTATATAAAATACTAGGTTTTCTTATTCTTTTAAGAACAATCAGAGCTAGATATTTCTTTCATTTTATTACAAACAAATGAAAATAGTTATCGGCCAAATTTACACTACCGTGATCTGGTGCTAAGATGGAAAAAATGCTTCAAATTATGTTGATTCTCATATGAAATATGACAATTAACTGTTGGGGTTGATCTTGGCCAGTACCAAGTATTTTATGAGTTTGATGTCCGTCAGTGTTGTCTATGTGGGACACTGTAAGCTTATTCCAACAAGGTTGCATCCCAAGCTACTTTTAGAGTTCTGGAATGGTTTATGGATATTCATTTGTCATATACATATTTTGTGTGATAGATTTGCTTTGGGATAATAGCTTAAAGTCATTCAAAGCAAAATTAAGTGACTAAGAGATGTGATCATGTAATTTTAGCTTTTAAAATAAAGAGATATAAGGTAAGCAAGACGTTTCTAAAGCAAGGAATTATTTCTTGACTAAAAATATCGTTAGTGTCTCACTCATTAACTGATTCTGGAGGAAATTTTCAAGAAATTCTACAAGTGGGCTGAAGAATGATATTGTTTGGATTTCATTTTAGTCTTTGGGAGACTGCTCTGAAGGAGGCTACTTACTGTGTGTGAGCTTCCAAAAACAAACTTCTATTATATCATAGTCATACCCTGTTCATGGTCAGTGAGAAATACTTAGTAATGGGATGCATTTACATTTTTTCTACTTTGAAAAGTATTTATTACAGCTTAGTATGCTCTAGGCTGAATGCTAGAACCCGCTAGCATTTGTACGTAGCATTTTGCTGCTATAACCATGGGCCTAATTCTTCCTGAAATTTTCTCTCCCAACCTGAGTGAGTTGATGCATTGGTTAGGGGCTATTTTGGTTTTTTCCCTGTATTAGCACTTTTACATCAGAGGTAGATTAGGTGTGTGGTAGAGGAATTCAAAGCCTCCTGTGCAAGGAGAGTGGAACACATTGTGGTGAAAGCCAAGAGTTAAAATGTTGGGCGGTTTTCTGTTTCACAGAGAACCTAAATAAAGCAACATATTAATCCAGTTTGACCCAGTAATGAAATGTTCCTTGTCTTCCTGGTCTTCCTGGTTGCTATTCATATCATTTGTATGACTTCCAATTTCCTCACTGTTCTTTGACTAGTGTCATTGAAAATGTATGATCAGCCTGTTATAAGGTCTCTGAAATTTGTGTGTGGTGAGACTTCCTGTCTATTTTCCAGCAGTGTTGTTCTAGCAACAGTTGGTATGAGGACCTTGAATTGTATTGCCAGTCTGAGTGTATTACATGCCGCTGACCATGCACATATGTAAATGTTCTAAAACACACACAAGTAGGTGTCTACGTTTTTCAGTTTGCCTCATGTTTGAAGGCAGGAGTTGGAGTTCTTAAAGATCTAACACATGGGAGGATAGTAGAAGAATAGGATGGGACAGTGATCCTGGTGCATCCATAATGTCACTGAGGCCTGGAGTCCACGGGGCGGGGGGAGAGGTCTATGCTGTATCAAGTCACTGACCTCTTGTGAAGATGGCATCAAGAGTTACTAAGGCTGGATATTCAGAAATCAGAGACAAATAGAGTCACATATCCCTGGTTAATGGCACAAGTAATTCTCTGCTGTGGTTTGTGGGCAGATGAAAAACACTACATTTCCAACTTCAAAGTGAGCATGTATTTGACAACTTAGTGCAGAGGTGAGTCCTTAATCACATTTAAACTAATATTGCCATTGCACATAGTATACAAAAATAATAAACGAACCCTTAAATAAGACATTACAGGAGATGTAAACATTTTTGCATCAAAATTACCACAAGCACCTATTATTCTATGATGGCGAACGAAGGGACAGATTCACATTGGAGTGCGTTTGTTTTCAGAAGTGACACCCTCTTTTCAAAGTGAGGCAATTAGCATGCTTTTCAAAACCTGAATGTGTCTGATGCTTGCATGTGGTATAGATCGCAGATACGCATGCCCCCTTTGAAGTGCATTGTGTGCACTTCCACATAGTAATTACTGTACTTAATTTGGTCCAGGGGATGCTGTGTAATGAGGCAATTAAAATTGCACATCTACACACACCTCTTTTGTAGAACGGGTAATTTTTTTTCTGGGCTTGAATTGAGTTTAGACATTCCTGTCCTGCTTCATGCTCATTACACTCTTCCTTTTGCCATTTAAAAACAAATTTTAAGGTTAATGGGAGTGAAGGCACATGATGTGCTGAGCATGGCAGTACTTCTCCTTGTTTGCTGGAGAGAAATGAGCAGCCCCACAGGAAGGAAAATAGGCAGAGAGGATCAGCATCTGATGAGAGAAAGGTCAAGCCACCTCTCTAACGATCTGTAAAACACTTGTGGAACTTGGCCCGCCTAGGTGTTCTCCCTCTCTCCCTTCTCCACCTTCTTCCATCCATCTCGTCTTCTTCCTCTCTCATCTTGTTGCCTTTCAGATCCTGTAAACCCCTGTACGTTAGCTTGGCCCTGGATGGACTCTTGGGTATCCTGATCTAGAATGACATCATTTACTAATGAGCAAGTATTTAATAAAAGAATCTTATTAGAAAGAAACATATTTCTGTATAACAGAAGAAGGTTTTGGAATCAGCATGCAACTAGTCTTTTGGGTAAGAAAACGCTGGGCAGGATTTCGGTATCTTGATTTCCTGTGAGAGATGTTGAAAGCAATGTACCTCGGGAGTTCAGAAAACCTACTGTTGCTGTTTAATTTTGTCATAAGACTATGGTTTTATATGTTTTTTACTGACAGGTAAATTAAATAGTATGATATAGAGTTATATCTGTCTTCTACTCTGGCTTATAAACTATTTGGAGAGATGTCTTCTGGGCATTCTTAGACTGGTTTTTCCCTTCATGCGCTTTCCAAATACTTCAAAACCTAATTTAATGTTAAGGAGTTACTTATACTCCTGTTTTACTGTGTTTTTAGGAGGATTTTAGACTCAAACACTAAAAGGGTAGATTAAATTCCCTATTTTCTTATATTCTCGTGTTTATTTTTGTACTGAATGAATTGTTGCAATAGGAAGGAGAGAGAGAGAGAGAGAGAGAGAGAATGAGAGAGAGAGAGAATGTTTCAGAGTGTTTCCATAGCATCAAAACTAAAGTTAAGTGAATCTTTCTATAGACCCTTAAACAAGAAACTTCACATATCAATAGTAATAGATACTGCTGAGTACCAAAGCATTATAGTAGGATATATAGCAGTGGCTAACATTTCTTTTAGAAATTCTTGGCACATGTTTTTTGAACTTTGTCGTCAGAAAAACGCTCAGAGTTTAAACATTGACAACTCTCTATTGAGAGTGAAATATTTTACTTCATTTTGTTTTTACCAAAAATACTGACACATGCCTAAAATGATCCCTAAAAGTTAGATTCATACAGAAATAAACTTCAGTGGAAGCCTGTCTTCTCTTTTGGACATCAGGCACCTTTCTGAGCCTCACCTTGTACCTCACAGAGGCCCTGGGCTCTAATTCATGAGACATTGGGAGCACACTGAAGAGAGGTATGCTCAGCCCACGCAGCAACTTGCCCTGCAGGAGAATGCTCATTTCTCTCTTGGATGTGCTCCAGAAATTTCTAAAGTGGCTAACTCTTCCTTCAAATAGGATAATGGACACCCAATATATATCGTTTTTAATTTTAAAGATGTGGGGTACAGTTCAGGGTTAGATATAGAAGTTGTCATGGTACAGGTAAAAGTTGGGCCTCCCTTTGATCCCCGCTTTGCCTGGTTCGAGATCAGGTATCCTAAATGATGCTGTATCCCCCCATGCCCATCCCGGCAGTATTCCACTACTGCCAATTCTTTTCTTATAGTATTATGGTAAATGTTGAGGGTCGGCTTATGAGTAAGGACATGTGGTATTCAGTTCTTTGTGTCTGTGCTAGATCACTGAGTATGATAGACTGTAAGCTCGTTCAAGTTGCTGCGAAGTCCATGTTTGTCCTTCTTTTTGGCTGCATAATATTCCATCATGTATATGTTCCACATTTTTCATCCAGTCCAGTTTCAATGGGCGGCATGGTTGGTTCCATGTTTTTGCTATTGTGAACAGTGCTGCAATAAACATGCATGTGCAGGTATCTTTTCTGTAGAATGATTTGAGTTTCTCCAGGTGTAGGGGAATTGCTGAGTCATGTGGAAGGTCAATTTCTAGTTCTTTTAGAAATCACCACACTGTTTTCCACAGAGGTTGAACTAGTTTTCATTCCCACTAGTAGTGTAGAAATGTTCCCTTTTCACCACATCCTCGCCAGCATCTGTTGTTGTTTGTTTTTTTAATGATGGCCATTCTTACTGGGGTCAGGTGTTATCTCAATGTGATTTTGATTTGCATTTCTCTGATGATCAGTGAGGCTGAGCACTTTTTCATGTGTCTGTCGGCTGCCCGTTTATCTTCTTTTGAGAATTGTCTATTCACGTCTTTTGCCCACTTTTTAAAGGGGCTGTTTGTTTTTTTCCTTTTTGTGCATTTGAGTTCCTCGTAGATCTTAGATATTAGGCCTTTGTCAGATATACAGCGGCAAATATTTTTTCCCATTCTGTGGGCTGTCTCCCTGCTCTCTTGATGCTTTCTTTTGCTTTGCAGAAGTTTTTCAGTTTAATGAGATTCCACTTGTCTATCTTATCTCTTATGACATGGACATCTGGGGTTCTGATCAGGAACTGGTTGCCTACTCTGATTTCCATAAGCGTAGCTCCTGTGTTTTCTAAGATTCTTATAGTTTGAGGTTTTATGTTCAGATCTTTGATCCATTTAGAGTTGATTTTTGTGTATGGTGATAAGTAGGGGTCCTGTTTCAATCTTCTGCATGTGGTCAGCCAGTTTTCCTAGCACTATTTACTCAATAGGGTCT